TTGGTATTTTCTTCTCATAGTTCCAATTACCACCGCGTTTTTCATACCCTATTCCAAATTTGCTCTCGCATGGAGACGAAAGGGTCATCAGCCTGACCTCACGTGTGTCTGAAATTGCGAATCCGGAGCGATTGTCATACATAAAAAATAGGAGTGGTCATTTGTACTAAACCTTGCTGACCTGGGTCGGATGTTCTGTTCTGACCGCTGAACTTTATCTGCTGGTTTTGTATATTTACGTACACATAAAGGGACATAAATACGCATGCTCTCTAGATTTCTACAAGGTTTGAACTGATCAAATCAATCTTTACCTCATTAAAAATCATACATGTATGGTGCATATATATATATGGCATTTAAGGTTAATCCGCTAAGTCGACAGCCTAAGTATGGTTATGGTAGTGATACTCTGCTCTCACCAGATCCCTTTTATGAAATGCAAAGGCTATGCATTTTTTCATCGGGATCGAAGGTCTGCGTAAGCACGAATGATCCAATAAATCCGGTCGACAGTTTGCTAAGAGGAATCTGCCATCGCTCTATGGTGGACTCGACCTTCGGGTCTTGCCACTCACTCGAAATGTAGGTGAGCTCAACAGTTATTAATCAAGGAATTCCTCGTATCCGGATGGAATGGTAAATGGATGCTCACTTCATTTGCGCCGGTCACAAAACGGGTGCTAACGTCTTGCGAGAATTCGACGATAACAAGCCAAACTCTGAGGGTCTGCCGTTGTCTTATTGTGAGAAAGAGCGTCTCTTCATCACTTATTTTCATGCAAAAGCTGCCCCAGCTCAACGGCATTCCGGCCGATTTTAGTTGATGCCCAGCCAAGCTACAAGCCTCTTTCACTTAATGGAGGTCGAGATAAATCCACAGAAAGCTAGATGAAAGATAATGCTTAACAGACAATAACTTTCGAAGAAAGGTGTAAGTACGCTTTAGAAAGCTGGTGTGGAAAACTCACCTGTCAGGCATAGTCATACCTAATATTTGGGACATTAACCCTTACTACAGCAAGAATTTAGTTACCCATGGTCGCTTACTGTGATTCTTAATGACTGACAGTTTGGTTTTTTCCTCAGGATTCAATTCAATTTTATCTAGCCTTGCCCTAGAACCTTTTCTCTGTCATTTGATAGACACACTCAGTTTCGACATCGCTTAAGCTTTATTGGTTCACTGACAGGATTCAAAATCGTCTTGTTCATGTAAAATGGCGACACTCCCAGGTCACATTTCCATTCCGGTGTCCTGGCTGCGTGCGTCAGGCCCCGTTGACTACTCTGCTGCAAAGCCTGATTTAGAAGAGAGATGGCTTGTCCTTAGACCTACTTTGCCTCGTGGCCCATTGGCGCCCGTTGCTGTGGCCGAGTAGTGGCACAATGTCGTCGCGATGCTCATGACGCGGTTTCGAATCCTTCAGTTATGCTAACGAGACGGTTAAACGAGGTAAAAGCTGTATTCCAGTCAAACTGTGATGCGAGAACGCAGGGCTAAATGAAACTCACTGGCATCTTAAGGCCTAGTCATTTTTGTGTGGGAAATTTCGCTCTTACGACTTAAATCAGTCTAAACGGCCTAAGAAGTGGGTAAAGTTATTATTCAAGAATTAATGGTAGCCTCCAGACATTTGCTTCGCAGGGGTTACGTAAAGTTGAAGTTGAGATGGAAGTCGGCTGTAAGCCCACCTGCTTCCTGTGGGCACTTTTTGTGATTTAACGATGCATCTTATTAGGTGGTTAGCCATTTTTGACTTTGGACATGGTGAGGCTTTTTGCAGACTACATCCATGGTGAGTTTGACAAAGTAAAAAATCTCATCCATCGTTCCTTCATCACCATGCACAACCTGGGGTGAACACAGTTCTTAGGGGTAAAAAAGTGCTCTCTTGCCCTACACTATCTCTGCTACATGAAGGACAGACAAAAGCTTCGCAGCCTCGATTGCGATACCTTTTCCCTTCGAGCGCCTACGAGGCCGTGTTGCCTTGGCACAGGGACAAGGCGCTGTGCCAAAAGTACGAAGGCCGCCGCCAAGACCTCAAGCCGAGACCGGTTAGACGGCGCACCCTCACTGACGGACTCGCTAAGTGGCTCCAGGGCACTTAGGCCTAAGGCGGAGCAGACAGTCTGGTTGGAAGAAGACTCATCTGGACCATTGCGTTATTTAGGC